TCTCTCTGACTTTCTCTTTTTATTATTTGCTCTATTCCATTTTTGTTGTTGCTTGGGGAACAAGAGCGGGAGAAGGAACCGCGACGCACCCCTAAGGAAGAGACCTCAAACGGTCAAACTATGGCAACCGCTGTACAAGGGAGGGAGACTTGCTTCAGTGATTGCGTGGCCCACAGCGCTCAAGCCCATCGAGAAGGCCCAGAACTTGGATTCTGGAAATAGCTCCACTCATCCCAATTCCCAACATGGGCTGGGCACCTGTAGCCCATTTGATCGCCAAATACTCCAAAGTCGAGAGTCGAGACACTGATGGCAAACCGGGATTCTAGTGGGGTCAGCAATTGAACCACATTGGCTGAACCTGGTTAATTCAAGCATTATAAATTTTGGTTGGACCTTTTTCCAGGTAAGTGCAAAGTTCATCTTATGATCCCTAAATCCCGTTGATTTCATTCCCCATTTCCAAATCTCTGTTAAATTGTTGGGTTGGCTTTCTGATGTCGACCAATTTTGGTGAAAGCATATATAAATGATCTATATCTAGAGAAAAGGATCATGGGTATTGGGTGTAATCGAGGTCGTCTCGGATCAGATCTAACCAATTCTAGACCCGATCTGATTTAAGTGATTATTGACACTTCAAATCATCCGAAATCCAATATATTGGACTTTGGACCGGATTTGGATTTAATCCGTTGAAATAAATAAAATTAAAAAAATTAAAAAAAAAACTAGTTGCTTTTTAGTTTATACGTATAGAATAAATTTTTATAAATATAATTATTAAGTTCACTAATTATATAAACTATGTATAATTATATAAAATATCCAAATTATATAGAAGAGATAGATATAGATATATATTATATAATACAATTAATAAATTTTAATCAAGCTCGGATCAGATGGGACCAAATCCTTCCAAACAAAATACTGAATGGTCTCAGCATTAGTGTTGCTTGAAATGACTTTAAAACATTCAACCAAATAAGAAAAAAGTGAGGGAGAGAATAAAATGTCTACATGGCACTGACCTGGCAGAAATGCTTAATGGCAAACACTGCCTTAATCCCTTAACAAAACACTAATACCAAATAACATTTGTGTAAAGTCCACTCGAAATTAAAATCAACAATTAAGGTGGTGTTTGGTGCCATAATTGTTTTTATTTAAAATGTTGTCACATCAATGCCAATTAAGGCATTTTTGAGTTTAAATGTGAAATTTTTGTTTGATTGAAACTGTTTTTGGGGTAAAAGACCATAAATATTTCTTCTATAAACAAAAAACTAAGGGGTGTTGGGAGAACATCATGTTGAGGTTTCCTCCAACTTTCTTTGTGAAGAAACAATCCAATGACCTATTTCTTAGTTGGCAGTGTATAGATATACTCTAGTGGATCTCATATTAGCAAAGATGGACATACACATTCAAAATCCACAAATCATTCATCCTAAACAATTTCGGCTCCATGATAGGGGTGCAAATTGATCGGATCATGATCCGATATCTGATCATATTTGGTCGAATTCAGATCACCCCCTGGTCGGATCTTCGGATCATATCCTAAATTACGATTAAAAATCGGATCATATTCGGATCGCCCCCTATCCGATCCGAGAAGATTCAATCCAATGTGTTATATATTTATAAATATATATAATACGTATATGTATTATTTATTTATTTATAAATATATTATTTATATTATATTTTTATAAATTTGTTATATTATTTATTTTTTATAATATATGATGAAAATAATTAAAAAAACTTGGATTTTTGTTGTTTCTTTATTTAAATTGATATATTTTTGTTTTTCTTTTAATGATTTAAATAAAATGAGTTGGATCAAATCAGATCTGAAGATTTGATAGGATTCGAATTCAGATCGAGTCCATCAAATCCGATTGAATCTTCGGATTGGATCAGATCCCACATATGTATCTAGATGCTAATCTATGTGTGGTAGAGCTAAACGGCAGAAAACATTTATTTTAAATTTAACCATTGGATGACAGATAATATGGTGTAGGATGGTTTTACGTTGAATGTCAACATTTCATTTTAACTCCTCAAGTGGCAATGCCAATACCAAACACAATATTCGCTCAAAACATTTGTTCAACGCTTGATCAACATAAGTACCAAATTAATAATAGTATCAAACACAACCCCATTATTTTCGTTTTTAAAAACAAAAAAACTGCCACATCAAAAAAGGGATAAGTAGACTGCACTCCACTTCAGAATTCTGAATTCCAGTGCAACCTACAATAAATTAAAATTTCAAATGCCTCCACCTAAACATCAATACCTGCCGATGTATTGGCATCAATTCCGAGGTGGCACCTACCCCAACTATACCGTGGAGCTAAGATTTGTGGGGGTGGACTGAACAGTAAAAACCCTAAAAGTTGTGTTTGTTGATATGATAGTTGCCCAAATACACCCAAATTTGCATCTGCACCCCACAACATATCTCAACCTTGTATTGGGAATGCCTCCCAATGACAACTATGAGAGATGTTCTCGATGCATGCTGAGATGTGCATGTAGGGCATGCTTTGTGAGGTGCATATATGAACTAAATACATCCTAAGGTTGGTACGTCGACTAGGTAGTCCCAAAAATGATGTGGTTTCGAGCCATGCTATTGGCTCCCACCACCACACCTTTGAAAAGAATTGTTAGATTGCTGCTGAAAAAAGTAGTACAAAAAAAATACACCCTAATTAAAGTTCTATGAAATTTATATAAAAAGCAATGGGCAAGAAATATTATATATTAATTGGGAAAAAATAAAGAATATAGATTTCTTATATGGGTCTGGTCGTAAGGTTCCTACCCAATGAATGGGTTGTATTTTATTTTTTTGTTTTTTTACTGGAAAATCACGGCTTTGATCCATTCGGGTTGGATCAAGAAATGCCTTGGATTGAACCACAGTATTGCTCCAAACTGCATTTATAAATGATATACAATGTGGATTCTTCTTGTGTAATTTGACCACGAAAACTTTTCCAATTTCAAAGTTATACAGGAGGGAATATAAGTAATAACATATAAGAGGAATTTAAAATCTTTCATTGGTATTGGGTCCTTTTTTATTCTTTAAAAAGGAATAAGGTAGATTAAAGTAGTTTTATAGGGATGGCAATCTCTACCCTATTAGGATGGGTTTTGGGGTAGAGATGAGTTTTTGGGTTCTTCAACACTTATGGGTATGGTATTAGGTTAAACCTGATCCTCCCCCATCCACATGTTGTTGGAAATCGTGTGAATTTTATGTATTAGGTGTTGAATTTAATGATAATTGATTTTTTTTTTATTTTACTTATTTATTGCTTATATATAACAATAAGTAATGGGAAATTAGATGCAGGTTTAAACCCAACCCACCCTACCCTTGAATGTGAAGAGGGTAGGGTGGGGGAAGGTTTTGCATTTTCATGTACAAAAAGGGTTTGGATTCTCAAAATTCAACATGTATGAGTTTAGGGATGTGGATAGGCTCTAGGATTTACAAAATTCTCCCAGAATCCACCCCATTTCCATTTCCAAACCTGAAAAGCAAGGAAATCATAAGGTCCCCTACCTTGAGCGGAAGTTATCTATTTATAGCCGAAAATCCATGTCCAATTCGGATAAAGATTCCAGAATTGTCAGGATGAGGTTACTCGTCGAGGTTTTCAGAATAAGTCCTAATCCCCAACGGAATTGTTCACCTTATCCGTACGGGGCTCCTCTTCTTGGTTGCACTTATCCATCCTACGCGGTATCAACATGACCGAAGAGATAAGACAGCCACGAAGGTCACCACTTGGAACGCAGGGCCAGCTCAGCAATAACCCAAACACCCCTCTTCTCAGTTTTATTCTTTACATCTTTATGCTCGTTTCTTATGCATTGATTAACAGTATTCTAGCAAAATTCTCTTTATAACTCCCGCTGATCATATCGTATTGTATTTATACAGCTATAACTCTATGTATAAATTCAATTCAACAGAACACTGCAAGCCTGCATTCTCATAATAATTCTTTATAATTTCATGGTATCAGAACTATCTCCTTCAATTACGTCTTCATTCATTATTTATCTGTGCAACGCAACGGTTGACTTGCAATGACATGCTAAACATTCAAAATAGTGCTAGTTGTGCCCTGGGATATATTAAAATGCTCTTGGAGACATGTCTAGCACTTAGTTGTAGCTGATGCTACGAATGTTTTTTTTTT